TGAGCAACCTCCTCTACCCCGTGCCCCTGGTGCACCGCGTGGCCATCGTCAGCGAGAAGGGCGAGGTGAAGGGCTTCCTGCGTGTGGCCGTCCAGGCCATCTCAGGTAAGAGGGGGACACCCCATCCCCCAAAATGTGCCCTCCCACAGCCCGCACACCAGCTCACCCCCTTCCTTCCTCCAGCGGATGAGGAAGCCCCTGACTACGGCTCTGGCGTGCGGCAGTCGGGGACAGCCAAGATATCCTTTGATGACCAGCACTTTGAGAAGGTACAGCCAGCTCTGGGGACCTCAGACCTCTGTCTGCCACAGCCATGATCCCCTGTGGGGACCCCAGCCCTTCGGCACCCACTGGTGCACCCTGCCTGTGTCCCAGGGTGGGGTGGCTGCTGTGGGGTGGAAGAGCTGGAGGTGCCTGAGCCCACCTCCAGCACCTGGTGCAGTTCCAGTCGGAGTCGTGCCCGGCCGTGGGGATGTCTCGCTCGGGGACGTCCCAGGAGGAGCTGCGCATCGTGGAAGGCCAGGGGCAGGTCAGCGACGTGGGGCCCTCGGCCGATGAAGTCAACAACAACACCTGCGCAGGTGAGGGGGTGCCAAGGAGCGGTTGGGTGGGACACCCCCACCCCAGCACCCAACCTCCTGCGCCCACCCAAACATTGAAAGCCCAGTGCCCCAGTGTGGGGTTGCCAGCAGACACTGAGGGGAGTGACTCCTGCCTTGCTGATGACCCTCCCCTCCCTGCAGTGACCCCAGAGGACCTTCTCCTGGACAGCCCAGAGAAGCCCACACCGGATGGGCCACTGGAGACGGCTCTGGACCACCTAAAGCTGGGCAGCATCTTCACCTTCCGCGTGACCGTCCTGCAAGCCTCCAGCATCTCTGCTGAATACGCAGACATCTTCTGCCAGTTCAAGTGAGCTCCCCATGCCCCCCAGCCCCACATCTCCCACTGTGCTTGGGCCATTGCCTCGGGGCTGGCAATGAATGTCAGGGAGCCCTAGCCCCCCACCTCTGAGCCCTTCATGGATGGGGAGGTGAAACCACCAGACATTTGTCTGTTACCTTGTTTAGTTGCTGACGAAAGGTGGGGAGAGGCTCCCATGGGCTTTCGGGGGGGCCAGGGGCTTCAGGGGGGTCCCGTCCCAGTCCAGGGTGTGGGTGGTAGCCCCGGAGGGAGTGAGTTCTTCCCCTGGTCCTTGCCCTTTCCCTGCTCACTGCTCTGGCACGTCCCTGTCCCGCAGTCCCTGAGCCACCTTCCTTCCCTCCGCAGCTTCATCCATCGCCACGACGAGGCCTTTTCTACAGAGCCCTTGAAGAACACAGGACGGGGGCCACCACTGGGCTTCTATCATGTCCAAAATGTGCGTACCCCTACCCTGCCCGCACCCCTCACCCCCACGGCTGCCGGGGTCTCCACAAGGCTGTTGGCTGGATCTTCTCCCCAAGGGAGCAGCTTCCTCCTGACTTTCCCAGCCCATCACAGCTGCCCAGCTAAGCCAACCTTAGACATGGTGGATGTAGGAGGGAGAAAGACCAATAGCCACTGCCCTGAAAAGGCTGGGATTTCATGGCAGCGGTCTTGGTGGGGAGAGCACCCCTGGGCTCTGTGAAAGGAGATGAGTGAGGGATAGTAGGGATTGGATGGGCTTGTGCCCTCCTACCTCCATAGTGCTGCAGCTGGCTGCATCCCTTTCCCAGCTAAACTGCACGCTTGGTGGCTCTTTCTCTTCCAGATCGCTGTAGAAGTGACTAAGTCCTTCATTGAGTACATCAAGAGCCAGCCGATTGTATTTGAAGTCTTTGGGCACTACCAGCAGCACCCCTTCCCGCCCCTCTGCAAGGATGTCCTGAGGTGGGCATGTCCTGGGCCACCCCTGGGTGCCACGGGGGTACCCATTGCTGCCAGCTTCCCGGGGACCCAGAGCAAGTAGGGGGACAGGGTGTGGGTGGGGGTGGCCCCAGGGTGTAGGTGGAGTTGGCTGGGTTTGGGGGTCCCTGTGGGTGCTTTAATGGAGCTGGTTCCTTCTGCAGCCCGCTGAGGCCATCCCGGCGCCACTTCCCCCGTGTGATGCCGCTCTCCAAACCAGGTAGGAGCTGTGGCCTCCTGCTCCTCTGCCTGCCTGCAGTCCCCGTGCAGGGTGTGGGGTACCCTTCCCCAGGGCGACCAGTTAGTCCCCAGGGGTACCACAAAATGTACTGCGGGACAGAGCACCCAGCAGCCCTTGGCACCCACTCCCGCAGCACCCTGCTGATGCAAAGTGCCCCTTTTGCCTCCTGGGGTTCAGCCAAGTGCCGTGGCTTGCTGTGCAGTCCCATGGCAGCACCATGAGAGCCTCCCTCCAGCTGTCCCCAAGCGTTGCCACGTGGTTTGGGACATATCTGTGCCAGGGCTATGGGTTCAGGGTGCTGAGCACCTTGGGGATGGGTGAGGCCACATCCTGACACTTGCTGCTCTGTGAGGTAGAAGGCATGCCAATAGTCAGCACGATGGTCACCATGGTCCCTGGAATGCGCTTGTCCCCCTCTTTGCTGCCACCTTGGTGTGCGTCCCCACGGTGCTTCACTCCAAGCATTGGTGCCAAGCTTGCCCTTCAGGCTGCCTTTCTGCCCCGCCACAGTGCCTGCGACCAAGCTGAGCACCATGACTCGGCCCAGTGCCGGCCCATGCCAGTGCAAGTACGACCTGATGGTCTTCTTCGAGATCTGTGAGCTGGAGGCCAACGGCGAGTAAGTCCTGCTGGAAAAGGGAGCGGGCATGAGAGGGAGGCAGCGCTGTGATTTGCCCAGTGCTCAGCACCTCCGGCCAGGCTGACGGGGCTCTGTGTCATGCCGTGATCTTCTCTTCCAGCTACATCCCTGCTGTCGTGGACCACCGTGGGGGCATGCCGTGCCATGGGACCTTCCTCCTCCACCAGGTACTCCCTCCCTGAGCAGCCATCCCGGCTCTGGCTCCTGCCGGGAGCTGTGTTAACCCCTGCCCCTTTTCTCTCGGGCCTCGTGGGTCTCAGGGCATCCAGAGGAGAATCACCGTCACCTTGGTGCACGAAACGGGCAGCCTCATCCGCTGGAAGGAAGTGCGGGAGCTCGTTGTGGGTAAGCTGAGCCTGGGCAGCCTCTCGGGATGTTTCTTGCCCACGTTCCCACACAGGGCTTTATGCCTCGGCTCCCCTCCCACCCTGCAATAGCAAAGCAGTGGGTGCCCAGCAGGTGACAGTGGGACACGACAGGGGCAGGACGCCTCAGTCCCAGCCACCATGTCTGGGAGCTGGACCAGGACCTCCAGCACTAAGTGGCCAAATGTCTGGCGGCTGGTGCCAGTAATGGAATGGGAGGGCTGCTGGGGGATGCGGGCGGGGGGCTGGCTCTTGTGGGGACCTTCGCGGGGCCACTGCCTGTCCCCTGAGCGGCGTCCCGTGCTGTGCCTGCAGGTCGCATCCGGAACACCCCAGAAGCAGATGAGTCTCTCATCGATCCCAACATCCTGTCCCTGAACATCCTCTCTGCTGGATACATCCACCCCTCCCAGGATGACCGGTGCGTGCCACAGCTTCTCTTGCTCTTCCCCTGCTGTAGTGAGGGCTGGGGGGGGCTCTCAGCCCCTCCACACGCTCCTGACCCGTTGCTGCCTCGGGATGGGGGGGGGCTTTTCCGGAGCTGCAGAGGGTCTCGGAGTGCAGGGCTACCAGCCCCCTTCATCCTCCTCCCTGAGACCTCTCTGCACTGGGCTTTGGCACTCCAGGGAATTTGGGTGGGAGTTGTGCTCTCCAGCAATGGAGGACTCTGTGGCTGGGGGGGGGCCGGCACAAAGGGGTCCTTCGACCAGCAAC